TTTTTAATAGCTAAGAACATGTCTCAGAGCTTGTAAAAGCTGAATATCCCACAGACTTATTCTTTTCATAAAGAGTTTAAAGGAATTCCAGTTATGCAAAACTTGGATGCCAGTTGTTGCAGCCCAGTTCAACAAAGCTCTGGAGGTACACGTTCCATTCCTTCCAGAGCATGAAGTCCATATCCCTCTATTTTACTTAGGGAGATGGTGATACTGAGTTGAGGCGTAAGACACCATCAGGTGAGATAGGAAGTAGTAAAAGAAGCTGTCACCGCTGTGGCAGAAGAGCAGAGCAAAGGGAAGGGGGGTCTGTTAGTTGCTGTTTGTTGCCTCCCTCCTTACCCCTTGATGGATGTGCAAAGCATCTCTTCAGTGGGTGCATCTTTGACACCTTGATGGTACTTTACACCTGGGAGGGTGCTGAGGCACCGGGTGCCCAGAGAAGCTGTGGCTGCCCCATCCCTGGCAGTGCTCAAGGCCAGGTTGGACCCAGGGGCTTGGAGCAAGCTGCTCCAGTGGAAGGGGTCCCCTGCCCATGGCACTGGATGATGGGTATATCTGCTTGTGATATACTGTTACTCTATTAATTATTCTCGTTGAGTGGCTTCCCAAACAATTGAATTTTGGCTGCCCGACCCTGAGCTTCCATCAGAAGCAGCAATTGCAGCTTTCAGCTTGGTTGAATCCATCACAGTAAACCATTTAGTTATGCCAGGTCTTCATGTTGTGGTCGAGGATTAAGTGCAATCCATTTACCATTTGTTTATTTATGATGGAGGCTTTAAGCTGACCTTATTGGTCTCTTCTGTCTTCACGTTGTACGGTCCTTGAGACAGAAACCTTTATATAGTGCAGATGGACATAATGGAATCAGGAAGGTGTTGACAAAGCTGATTTGAAACATGGGAAATGAAACCCTCTCTCAGGTCAGCACTGGCAGCCTTCAATTCCCATCTTTTGTTTCATTTTTCCTGGGGCTCCTGAGCTATCTCTGCTTCCCATATCCCACAACTCTTTTCTTCCTTTCCACTGCGTTAGTTTTAATTTCATGGACACACAGTTTACTTGAAACCATTCTGATTTGGTGGTTTTTAACCCCACTAAAGCTGAGCTTTCAAGGCACCTCTCTGTCCGTTCACTGTTGGCTTTTACCTGTCCATGCAGCGACTGAGACCTTTGGGATTGAATCCTGTCAAGACTACTTGATTCCATGGGAAGAGACAGGGATGCTGTTATGCCAAAGGGCCTTGAAGTGTTGATACGTGCTGTGGCTCACCCATAGTGACATCCTGAAGCCGAAAGTAACCTGTCTCTGCTGTTCCCCTCGTCCTTGAGCACTGTCTGGCAAACTGAAGAGTGCTTATTGAAGGCAAACGTGGTTGCTAGGAGCAAGGGAGATGAGCCAAGTAGATGTAGAGGTCCCTGCACATGATATTTGCAAGCAGTGCAAAGCTCAAGCCATAGTTCTTTTTAGTGTGATATTTTGGCCTTTTGTGCAAATTACTTGAGTGCATAAATACCAGTTTTCATCAGCTGGTGTTTTGGAGCTCCTTGGCTTTCAGGATAAGTTTGTGTCAGCGCAGTGTGGCTTTTTGGGGTAACATTTATAGCGCAGAAACCATCCCTTTCTGTGGCGCTCTGAATCCTCTTGTATCGTTGGTTCTGGAGGGCAAAGCTTTTACATTGGTGCATCACCATGTTAGGTAATAAATACACTAATAAATCAGCTCCCACCTCTCATATTGAGGTCAGAAACAAGAGCCATTCGTGGGAGAAGCAGCAAGGAAAGCTGAAATGCCTCATGTCCCCATGGGGGAGCACAACCTCAAGATCAGGCTTGGCATTTCATTTAAAGCTCATATAGCCAGGCCCCAGCGAGGCTCTGTCAAGCAGACAGTTCCCCCTCTGCTATGAGGAGCCTGGCATTCAAAATGCTTCCTGCTTCTACCAGCACAGGGCTTTTAAGCCACCTCTGCAAGGCATTTGTCAGCAGCCTCGTGTCCTTCCGAAGGAGGGCAGTTCATCCGTGTATCACCAGCATGGAGGTGACAGCAGAGCCCATGATAGTTGTATTTTGGGGTCTGTTGTGGGGCACAGGATGTGCCAAAGTGCCTCAAGCAGGGGAACAAGGGTTCTTGTGGGGATCCCACAATGATTTAAGAGCTTCTGTCCTTTCTTCTACAAGGATGCTGGAGAGGGGCTCTGCATCAGGGACTGTAGTGATAGGACAAGGGGTGATGGGTTCAAACTGAAACAGGGGAAGTTCAGGTTGGAGATAGGGAAGCTCTTCCCTGTGAGGTGCTGAGGCGCTGGCACAGGGTGGCCAGAGAAGCTGTGGCTGCCCCATCCCTGGCCAGGTTGGACACAGGGGCTTGGAGCAAGCTGCTCTAGTGGAAGGTGTCCCTGCCCGTGGCAGGGGATGGAACTGGATGAGCTTTAAGGTCCCTTCCAACCCAAACCACTCTGGGATTCCATGATTCTCCTCCCTGTTTGATTTAAGGAGCTCTTCCCACAAACCCACTTCTGGGACCAGCAGATTGAGCACGTGGAAAAGCTGTTTCTTGATACAGTTTGCTCATGGACAAATGTACATCCCCGACTTGAAATTCATCAGCTTGACCTGCCAGAGAACTTTAAAGAATGGGTGTGAATGTGGGCTGGGCCTTGTGTGAAATGTCCTGCAAACATTTGTTCCAGTACATTTGCTTCTCAATTCACAATGAAGAAGGATTCATTCAGCTGAACAGGGATTGCTTAATGGCCTCTATGCAGTCCGAGCCTTTATTAATGTAATGGTGTCAGCCTGCATTTGAAGGGCATTTAGAGCTGCTCAGCACTTGAAAAAGTGGCATTTTAAATAAAATCGGGGTTCTATTCCTATGGCTCCTGTTAAATTTCCCAGTGGATTTTCAGTCATTTACAACTCCCATGGAACAGCCAAATACCTGCTCCCTGCAACAGTCTTTAATGTGTATAGAATATGGGTGTCAGTGTTTGTAAGTGCCAGTGGGACCCTGGATCTTCTCCCCTCTCATGGAAAAGAATCCATGGCAGCAGCAAGATGAGGGATGGATGGAGAAATAATGCTTAGAAGTGTTGTTGCTGATGGATGCCAGACCCTGAGGTTTGGTTTCCTTGTCTGTGTCATCTTCGAGAGCGCAGAGTTGAAGTAAAGGCTGTTGGAGCAGTGTGAAAAACAGGAGCATCTTGAGCAGCTTCCACCTTTCTGACCCTACTCAGACCCATATGTCACTACTGCCAATCCACAACGTTCATTTTCCATCATCCCCATCATGGATAGGGAGGAAAAAGCCACTGGACTTAGTGTATAAGGGACTAATACAACCTGTAGCATCTTGAGCCTTCCTCCGTCTCTTGTCTCAGATGGCATGGAATGATGCAGTTACAATTAAAGATAAGTAAGGGTTCAGAGGTGGTTATCAAGTGGTTTTAATTGTGTTAGAAAATCTTTAGGATTCCACCTTTCTTATGGTCCTGTGACTAAGGGTTTCATTTTTATCAGTAGTAGAATATTGTGCTAAATCAGTCTGGGAAATGCCCTAAGATTTGGTTGCAATATGCAATTGGACACACAAAGAGTTGGAGTTTCTCATGGAGCTCTATGGACATAATGAGATTAAATGAGAGCAAATAGATGGGAGTCTATTAAAAAGGTCTGCTGACATCTGTGTTTGTCCACTGTGAGGGCAGACCCAAGAACCACAGGACACGTTATTCTCTGTGCTCAGACCGCCACAGGGCCTGAAGCATCATCCGGGAGGAGCTGAGCAGTGGTCCCTGTAACAAGGCTGAGGATAGACTGTGTGTGATACAACCATTCAGAAGGCTTACTTCTTGAAAGGAAACCACATCTCTGCTAAGGAATCCAGGAGGAATTGCCCTAAGCCTGAGGAGTTGTGTAGTAAATGAGTTTGTAATCCAGAGTGCTGATAAAGGTGTAAATTCAGTCTCATGTTCTTTCATATAATGAGAAAGTGTTCATTGTGGTAAGCTGCTTGTTTTAAGCATGGGGTTGGAAGCTGGGTCTTGCCCATGTTACCCATCCTTTTGTTCCAGCACCCACTGGAATTAGACTGAATGCTGTCCCACAGCATTAGACTGAGCTGCTGAGGGATGGTTTGGGCAGAATCCTTGTCTACAGCTGCAGTAAACCAAGCCCCAACACTCTGAAATGCTGAGAAAAGCCTCACTGGGCCTCATTCAATATCATGAGGTTGATTTAAAGAACTATGGACTTTTTTCCCCCCTTTTTGTTTCAGTTTCTCTCTTGTTTTGGAGTTACACAACCCGGTTTGTCCTTGTAAGATCAGTGAAAATAAGTGGCAAACTCCTCATGTGGTGGAGAAAGAGGCCACATCTTCTCACTCTTGGTATGCAAAGAAGGAGGAATGAAAGAGCCACCTCTCTGAAGGTTTCAGGTTCACAAAAATCGCATTCTTTTGACCACATACATGTCAAAGGTGCCCATCTGAGCTGGCATCACACCTCTGCCTTCTAAATCAAGCTGTGGTCATGCAGTGCTTTTCTGAGGCTGGAACTGGATGATCTTAAGGTCCTTTCCAACCCAAACCATTCTATGAATCTATGGGAGCTGCTCTCTCCATTTAGGCAAAACACGAATGAACAACTAAGGACTCAACTGTGTGTTTCTTCTCATGTTGCTTGCCTGAGCAGCAGAAGCAATTGGGTTTGAATGGCCTGGAAATTACTGCTCCGCATTTGTGTGTGTTTCAAGCCGTGCAGACTGTGCAGTGATTAAACAGAATGATCCATTGGGGTCGGTTAGGGAGTGCAGCTTTCTCTCCACCAGATTGACACTTTGTCCTGCTTGGATAATGAGAAATGAAGAGAAACTCTTAGAGAGTCCTGGGTTTATAAAAGCATTTGTGTTGTCATATAAGCCACAAACCCAAGCACTAGCACTAGTAAGATTACCTAAACCTTGTCACCTGTATAAACCTCTCTGTCCTCCTTTCCAGAATGATGAAGTCCTCTGTACACGCAGAAGAAGATGACTTTGTGCCAGAGCTTCAGAGGAGCATCCATCCCAGAGAGAGGCCAGACTGGGAGGAGACTCTCAGCGCTATGGTGAGATGCTGTGTGCTGTTTTCTGTCTGTGTTATTTCCAGTGCTGAATGCTCTTCCACTTACACACTCATTTACATGCCCTGAGTTTCAGATTTCTAAATACACACTACTTTCAAGACCAAAATACTTCCCTTCCTCTGGCAGTTTGTCAAGGAGAGAGAAGGAACGTGCATAATGCTTCTGCCCTATTAATACGTGCCCCAAAGCAGGTCGAGTAACCAATTAAAGGTCCATAATGTCACAAGGATTTTGTCTGCACTAACCTCTTTTTCAGCAAGGCTCATGAGCACAAAGCATGTACAAACATGCTCTTTGAAGCATGCAGCATTGTGGAAGAATTAGGTTTTAGCAAAAGGCTGCTTTAGTCTACAGAAATAAAACCTCAGCCTGAAAGCTAATGTACCATCAGAGGGAGCAGAAACAGAGCCTCAGAGGTGCTGTTCTCGTGCTGACAGAAGGCACTGCAAATGGCAGTGGGCCACAGACAACTGTATTACCTTCATATAGAATCATAGAATAGAATCATAGAATATCTTTGTTTTCTTTCTAAATGAGGGATTAAAATACCTGCAGTTCCACTTTCCCAACCCCCTCTGCTGAGATTGGAAGGTCAGATGTTATGTATTACCAGCAACGTGATGAGGTGGTTTTGTGGGGTTACCTGACCTCACAGAAGCTTGACCTGCTTTGTGGCAGTTCAGGAGTGTCTGGAGGTTGGAACTTGTCTGGTGTTTTCACTTGTTCTTATGGTACCTCCTTAGCATCCTAAATTGGTGAGGATCCTGCCTTCTGTGACAGAGCTTGGCCGCCTGGTTTTGGGTTAGCTATTGGTTATACAGTGCTCAGAAAGTGCACAGGTCATAAACTCCCTGTTTATGTTGATTTTGAACAGGGGAGCAAAGGTAAGCACTCTGTTTTACTCTCCGAAAAGCATCATCAAACCCCATATAATACAATGATCACAATTTCTTCCAAACTTTATGTTCAAGACAAAAAATCAACCCAAACCATAGGAGTCGCCAGTGGTTTTGTCTGTGGCTGTTTTCTGTGCTGGTCCCTCCACTCAACCCCTCACCAGCCAACGTTAATGTTGGCTTTCTGCAGCTGGCACTGTGTTTTTTCTCCTCTGCAGCTATTTTCTCCTCCTCCTTCTCCTTGGCCAGCAGCTCACACTGGTGCTGGGTGTCTGAGAGCACTGTCTGTTCTCATCAGCGTTCCCCAGCCTCAATGCATGGTGCTTCTTACCCCCCTGGAGCCATGCTGGTGTCAGTCACGGCGTGACACCGCTCCATGCTGGCTGTAACCTCATGGTGTGTCTCAGGATTGGGAGGCCCTAATGCAGTGTCTCCCCCTGTAACACAAGGCAGCTGGCATACCTCATTTGTTACTGTTCTGTTCCACTATTGCCTTACAGGGAAGGAAAAGTTCACCTCTTCTGGCTTGGTGCTTCCTTTGTTCTCATCCAGGCTGTTGTGCTCATGGCTCAGGCTGTTCTTTTTCCTTATGTGTTGATCTTTAGGGGGAAAAAAGATGCCTTGGTTTAGCTAATGATGCAAGAAAACATCCTTGGAGGATGAAGGTTCTCACTGTCACTTCCTGCATGGTTCACTTCTTGTTCAGGTGTTTGGGGTCTAAATTGCATGTCACAAGTAGACACATTCTTCACATTATTATGTGGTTAGAAGAGGTGGGGAAACGAGTGTGTCATACACCAGGTTTGTGTTTTATGCCACTGGAAACAGCTCTTTTTGTAAACCAAAAGTAAAGCCAACCTGGACTCCTCATGGTTCAGCATTCAGCTCCTACACGTATGCATAAAGTTGCTCTCACTCCACTATCACATCACTTCTTAAACAGCTCTGTGCCAGCAGTGTAAAGGTTGAACAGGGCAGGTGGCTGTAAAAAAGAGATTTAGAGGACAAGAAACAAGAAAATTCCCATCTCAGATCTGCTGCCCAGGGATTTGGAATGATGGAAGCGCAGGGCTCCGTGCACCGAGCCTGTGTTTCTGATGGCTTGGATTCGTGCTTATGGCGTTGGTTTGACCTCCTGCTCCTCTGAATGCATTGTGGCTGGGTAGGAAACCCTCATGTTTACTGTGCTGAGAGAATCACATTGCCTCTCCCAATCCCTGCCTTATGGCCTGTCAAAAGGCAGGATCTACAAAATGTCAGTATTTACAGGTCAGTGGCAGGCAGCTGGAGAGCCAGCTAGGGACAGGGCTTTGTTATTGAGCTGAATTCCACGGTCTGAGCAAATAGGGGGAGTAGGAACACGAGGGAGAGCTCAGGATACTCAACAGACCCTTATTCATCTGTCCCTTGAACTTTGTCTTCATGCATGGCACAGGGTGCCCAGAGAAGTTGTAAATGCTCCATCCCTAGCAATGTTCAAGGCCAGGTTGGATGGGGCTTGGAGCAGGCTGCTTTAGTGGAAGGGGTCCATGCCCATGGCAGGGCGTTGGACCTGGATGATCTTAAGGTCCTTTCCAACCCAAACCATGCTGGGATTCTATGTTTTTGTACTTTAGGAAAGGGCCATTTATGCAGTCACAGTTAGATGGACTCTGGTCATCCCCACTCTCCCTCCTCCCTTTTATCTACAATCCATTTTGAAGTGCTTGTTATTAATGTATAAAAGTGCTTTGTTTCCAGAGCTTTTTCTTAACTAGAAATAAAGGTCTTTGAAATGGATGGAGGTTGAATGTCCTCCTCTACTGTAAATGTAAAGTAGGGCAGAAGCTCTATTTCTAATGTTTCTGTGCTTGCCAGTTTATTCTGGGCACCTGAGTAGCTTCAGTCCTTCAGTAGCAGTGTGCTGCTACTTTTATCATAGGATCATGGAATAGTTTGGGTTGGAAGGGACCTTAGAGCTCATCCAGTTCCTTAAAGCTCACCCACATTCCACTAGAACAGCTTGTTCCAAGCAGTTAAGTGGATTTTGGGAACCAAGCTGGACAAGATGCAATACTACATTGACAGACGTCGCAGCAGCTGGATAAGAAACCAGCTGCCTGCATAGTCCTCAAGGACTCCTGTGTTTTAGATTCCCCTCCCAACTCCTGTTGTGTGCTTATGGAGGTTGGGGATATTAGAAGCTCCTGGTCCCTCTGTGCCTCAGGGTAACCTTCACACAGGTTTTTTTCTCTCTCTGCTCCAGTTTGGAAAATGCAGTTGATGATATTGACTTTCTTTGGAGGAGACTTGTGAGTTCTAGGAGTGAAAAGCCATATTTGAGGCAAGTGATATTGCAGGATATGGATTTTCTCTCAATTGATACTTGTACTTTTAATAGTACATTTACCTTCTGTTATTGACCATCTCAGCATCTCTGTATGAGCTCAGTAAACTTCCCACCCTTCTGAACACTCACTTTTGGGATCTAGACTGAGGACATTGAGGTGACAGCCATGGTATCCAAAGTGTTAGGGGTTTATAGCCAGGCTGCCAGCAGAGGTGTGGTGAGGAACCTCTACATTGCCAATAGGAAACCGTGATGAACCCTTGAATTTGGCCAATGCAGAAGTGAACAAGAAGGCAGGCAGGTGGCACTCAGTGCCCATCATCCTTTTTGGCTTCTGCTGGTGGAGTTTTCTGTGGAAGAATACAAACCTACAAGTGTTTTGGAAAGGCACAGGGGTTATATGATATCCTAGGAAGGCCCTGGAGTAATCTTTCTTCCTGTATCAGGTGAGATGAGTTCTGACAGCAGCAACTGATACTAGATAAGGGAAGGTACCATGGCTCCAGAAGGTAATAAAGGTTTTAATGAGACCTCAATACATCACTGCTAAATCTGGGACATGAGTGAGGAGAAAACTATTTTTAAATGCAATTTATAAAAGCGTGTGGAAAGGGGTGAATTGCAAAGGTTTAAAGAGAGATTTCACTCTCCTTAGTGCAGGGGTCGTTTCTTGTTCTTCCTGTGGCACTTAGCCCAACGCAAGGGACCTTAGTGCTCATCCAGTTCAGGCAGTTCAGTGGAGATGGATTTTAGATCTTCACTGAGATGCTCCAGCAGTTGGCTTCTGGCTCTAAATCTCTGCGTTTCCTAAATGCCATGGAAAACGTTCCCTTAAAACTGTTCCGTGCAGTTCTGGTCTGGCATTGCACCAGTAACCTATATTCCATTTTCAAGTCCCATCACTTGTTTTCCTTGTTCTTGCTGCAGAAATGAAGTGTTTTTTTCCCCTTGTTAGGCTTTTGGCAAGGCGTTCTGTTGTCCTGCGTGGTTCTTTCTCTCCCTCTTGGTTCGAGAGTTGTTTTATTTCCCAGGCTAACTCCCAGCATGAAGCTTGTCCCTGAGAATCTCGGAAAACTGGGACAATCACTGAATTGGAAGCACACTGGCTTCCATTTGGGCTCTCTCATTAAATGAGTTCAATTAAACCAGAATGGATCCCATCTTTTTGGCAGTAAATATTAATTTATAGCAATCATTTAATTTTCAGTGGCGATGCTATAGAAGGGATTGTTTCTGGTGGCATTTACTCACTTTACACCGTGCAGCGTTGATCCAGGAGAAAAGCAATACGTTTTCTCTGTTTCTGGTTTAAATCTGTGTGGTCACAGCATTTAGCCAAGAAGGAATGAGTTGGAATTTGGGAAGGCTGGATCAGTAACGTTGTTGTTCACCATGATCATGACTTTACGCCCCCTTCTGCATATTTATCCATCTCAAAGGGAATCCGATGCACATCACTAAATTCAGGTCTTGCTCAGTGAAGTGTTTGGGGCATGGATTTACACACCTCCACTAGGAATTCTTTTATGGTCATAGGGGATAACAGCAGTTACAAAGATGAAGATGGTACTGGAGTGTAATGGCTCGTGTTTGGAATGCTCCCAGCCAAATTCCATATGTGTAGGTAGATGTCATCACGTATTAATGAACATGAAGCACTTAGGGCTGGGTTTACTAAGGCATTAGGGAGCCTGAGCGCTTCACTTTGTCACACTGTGAGTAAACCACTGGGCTCAGTGGTGTGCATAGTCTAGGTA